ACCAAATATTTTTCAAGTATCGAGATATGTATAAAAAGTTCTAGCACCTGAAGATTTGAGATGGTTTTTTTTAAATTGGTCACGACTTTATTTTCCTAAAACGAGATTGTAAATATAACAAAAACAAATAAAAAATAGAAAACAAAGACGTTTCGGCGCGCAGTGTAGTTATAACCGTGCATAAATTTTACGCAGCCATGAAGCTAACATATTCTAGTTAACAAATAAGCGGTGCCAACAGCAAATTAACGTGTGATTTAGTTATATCAACACAATAAGAGGAAGTAAAAAAGTGAGCAACGTGATACACTCTAAAAACGTCTGTGCGTCTAATTTTCCGCACAACACTTGATTAGCCAATCACCGCAACTTAAGGAGGCAGCTGAGCGAATGACGATGCCGAACTTTATGATTTGACCAAAAACGCAGTCTGAGTTGTGACATTAAGCGAGCAAGCGCGACGTTTTGCACTGCTTAAGGGGCCCTGCAGTCATATTTAAGCGTCTACTTTTTTTTTGCGGTTTCCACGTCCCTTGGGGTTTGGGCAAGCCAGCGGGCACGGAGAGAGTAACTAAATATCAGTGCGTCATATTTTAACCGGACGACGCGGAAACCTCCTTCACCGACAGGGGCGACCCGCGGTACCGAAAACGCGCAAAATGTGACGTTTTAGGTCCTGGGCTTACTACTGGTCAGAGCCGCTAAAAGCATCTTTTTAGTCGAAATACAAAATATAAGCGCCGTGAACCGTTTCAATTATTTATAAAAGTAGTTTTTGTTCAGTATTTTATATCCGAAAAGAAACGAATGCAGCTTATAAAGTACGAAAACAAGAAATGACCTGTCGACATACCCGCCACCAAGCGGTGGAAAAGGCGGCGTATACTAGAAAAGGGTAGTGGGATCAGGCGCCGACACAGAAAAGTCTCGCATGTACGCGGCGGCGCTGCGGTCGTTTACGGACTGGAGGATCCGACCGGCTCCGTGTGTTCCGAAGGCCTTCGGCGAGAAGCTTTGCCTCGCGGTTTGGCCGTTTCGCGGTATGGCAGAGCGAAGTGGCTCCCATTCTGAACTGATTTTTACCCCGCGTTTGCTGTCGTTTGTGGCCAATGAAGTGCCACGCCAAATTAGTCTCTAATCGCGCAGCAAACGCAATGAGCACCGCTCTGGCCGCCCGCTACATACAGCCTTTCAACACGTGCTTTAGTGGCGCCCTCTCGAGCCGTCGACACAGAGTGCTGCAGCCGTGAGGCGCTCGATGAGCTCACTATTCCTACTCTAGTTCACGGCCACTCAAGCCGGGACATACTACGTCATGATGGAGGTTATTTTTTGCTTGTTTTTGTAATTTTAATTTGCCTATAACTTTTGAAATAAAGCGAATTTCGAGAAAAGAAAAGTTTCATTAAGTTACTACGTTCACTGCGCTCAGGTTCGGTGCAAATTAAAAACCAGTAAAAAGTCCTTGCAGGGCCCTTTTAATGTCACAACTCAGACTGCGTTTTTTGGTCTAAACATTTGTTTTGGCGTCGTCATTCGCTGAGCTGCCTCCGTAAGTTGCGGTGATTGGCTATCCGGGTGTTGTGCGAAAAAAGTAGATGAACGGACGTTTTTTAGTATGTACGACACTTTCCATGAGGCAATCGCGTCCCGTTTTGCCGAAAAATTTTGTCCCACGTTGAAGCCAAGATGATTGGGTTCAGACAACAAGACATCCGGCTATTCGATTTGGACTTAGAGTGAGCTAGGGTAGATTTTTTTCAAACTAGAGCAGGGAGGCTTTATGCGTTCAGTACTCAACTTCTGCAACTCTACATTTTCGCTATTGCGCCCAAAGACGTCGTCCATAAGCTTTTTTTTTCAGTAATGCATTTATTTATTTCATTTCCCACTGTTCGTTCAAATGCTTGCGCTAAAGGCGCCAACAAAAGGCTAACAATTGTCGGTTGGAGAAGGTCCCCGTCCCCTTTTTCTGTCAAACACAAAACAAAGAGCTCTCTTGCCAGACAAACGTTTCCCTGTCTAAAAAAAGTATGGCTTACAAGAAACTATGATTTCTCTTTGAACATGTTCCACAATTCACTGCGGCTAAAAATATGCCAAGAAAGTGTTAAATTTTAAGTACGCTAAAGTACTTTATGCTAGAGTAGTGTTGAAAATGTTTAAAATTAAATTTTACGGGTTAAAAAAAATTGAGGAAAGACGCGGAAAATCCGTTTTCGGACCTATAGGCTATGCTATTTGGTGGATACTATGTGCAAGTATAATCATAGGCATTCATTTTTTAATTGAAAAAAATTTATTAATGCATTTTTGAATTTGTGTAATTACGGTCTAAATTTATATTGGTAACTTGAAGCCGTCTGTACTTCAAGACAGGCTGTGTTCCGAGATATTAATCTCTTAATTCAGCACTCAATCCCGATGAGCACGCATACATTATACCACGAATATCAGCCCAAATGCTTTCCATACGTAGACTCTTAAGAAATGCCTGAGCGTCTACTTACCCGCAGAACACTCTAAGAGCCAATGTCTGCGATCTACGAAATCAGCTCAGCGAATGATGAGCCGGAACATCTGTTTAGACCTAAAAATTAAGTCTGCGCTGTGGCATTACGCAATGCAGGTATGACGTTTTGCATTGCGTAGTGCCACAGCATAGATTTAATTTTAAGGTCTAAACGGATGTTCCACCTCATCATTCGCTGCGCTGATTCCATGTATCGCAGAGATTGGCTCTTTTAGTGTTTTACGGGTAAGTAGACGCGTAGGCATTTCTTAGAGCGTATGACGCAGTCGTTTTGTACGACATTCCTTATGACAACGGGACGGAACTGATAACAGCCACAAGCGAGAGCAAAAGTTATTATTTCCGCCCCGTTGTCGTACGAAATGTACACGCAACGGGATGTCACGCCAATGTTGGCTTTGTCGCTGACCTGCGTGCTTTTGTATGCGGCAACCAGAGGTAGGTAAGAAATTCATTAAACGATTCAAAACTTCTTGAGGAGACACACTCACAGCTACATGATATGATGGAGACAGAGGGGAACGTAAAGGGCAAGGGAGAGGAGGTCTTAAACACATAGTTATAGAAAATGGTTTATAAATGCTTGCTTTTTTATATTAGAACCACTGTATGAAACTGAAGCTTAATCTGGAATTGTATGTGTGCTCAGAAACTTGATATAAGCATGTGAAGGTTGTGCTTACATCCCTCTGTATAGTCACGGTATTTAAGGTTGGGAACCGGAAGCATTCCCTAGTATAAAGAGGACTAAGATGCGCTCTGTTCGTAATTCTTAAACTTCAAATAGCCTGCAGCACGAAGCTTTTACATGTTTAAAAGTGCTGCAAAGACCCTTGAGTCTTCTTCTGGAAAAGGGTTATAACACGTCTTCTATTGTTTCAGGTCAAAGATAAGGATGTTGGTTTGTTTGTCGACGTGGAGGGAAGCGTGGAAGCAAACGACATTTTGAACCTGACTGTAAACCCCCTTGTCGGTGAGGACATTCGACAGGAGGAGCCAAACAAGTTTGTATTGCATTTTCATTCAAATTTATTGATTGTCGCACACACTTCCGACCACACAACCGGCTATGGAAATACGAGCATGTGTTCCCTCACAAGTGCATTTAACGATCACTTTCATTTTAACTACTCAAGGCAAGCTCAGATTCTGTGAAACTTAAGGTACAAAAAGAAACGTCCCTTTTGCTTCTACGCACAAGTAGCACTCCTGGCGACTATGATATAGCGTCGTTGATTGTCCGCTTGGTTCAAGACACCGATCATAGTCAAAGCCCCTAAAATGAGAGTACTGTGTACAATTTAGCATAGACGCCGAATGCTTGAAAAGAATTGCGATTTACGAAACCGTTAGATGTTCCCTCCCCAAACCGCATTGATTTGGTACTAGCAGATGACCAGGGTTTCTTGCATAACAACCATCTGTGAGTGTTTTATATCATGATTGTCACTTTAGGCACCTATTGCGGACAAAATGGGTAGTGAGGGTCGTTTCTAAATCTGGGAGATAGACCAAACTACTCTTTCAAATTCCAGCATGTGAAAGCGACCAAGAGATATTACGCATTTGATCTAAATTGCAGCGGGTTGCACTATAAAAACCGTGGGCTTTTCGGTCAAGCACACCGCTACTAGTTCTTACAATATATGAAATAAAACTAGCAAATAAAGAGGCTCTTATGTATTTTCTTATACAAAAAATGCCGTGTGTGGTGTAGGACTCGGCTGATGTTCCGACACCTTGCAATCAAACGCGGATCCTATTTTTAGGGAAGAAAGGTCATTTTGGTCTCCTTGTTGACCCTTTTTTTTTCTTATATTGAAACTATTGGTGGTGATGGGGACCGAACACATGCGATCTTTTTCCATTTCTACGCACTAAATTCCTTTTTAAATGTTTTTTTTTTTTTTTTTTTGCGGGGAGCTATTTGGTGTATGTAGTTATGCAACCCAAAGTAAATAATTAAAATGTTTCAGCGGAGCTACAACAGGATGACTATATGGAATGTCTTGGTTAACATCCTCTGACTCTTGGGCAGGAGCTACACACGGCTTTTTTTTTCTGCTTTGTTATATCTTTGTTTTGTACCAGATTATGGAGTCAGTCATATATAATCCACTGATAGTTTAGAAAATTTAGAGTATACGTCAAAAACTATTTAGGACAGGTTACTGCAACTTTGAGTTGCTCACCTTTCTCTGGAATTCTCTGTATATTCAAACATACATTCCCGGTCAACTAAAGTTTTATTTGTAGTGACAGACATTATCGAGGCATTAATTTTACGAAGACTAATGAACTGTTTACGAATCGGTTACAATTTTTAAAAAAATCTGGCGGAATTTATATATATTCTTTGTCTGAAATAGTTGTTCTTTGCAGTGCTGAAGATATTCATCCCGGACGGCTGGTTCCTGTACCAACCCAATCACTCCTACCTCAGCCCGGTAGGGTCGACCCAGGAGGATTTGAACTGCCGGAGTTCCCGGTGCACCTTCGGAACAAAATGGTGTCCATCCAGAAGGGTCAAGTCTCCGATGACTTGCGGAAAAAAATTATCGATACTCTGTTCTGCGCCCTTTGCTTTCGGACATTGTACGTGTAATCACAGGTTTATGCGCTCGCGCCTATTCAACCAAATTTAAACTAAACGATATATGTCTTCTTACTGACATCGGTATAAATGGGTTGAGTCCAGCACACTTCTATTACTAAAAATAACTAAGAAGCGGGTATCATGATGTGTCAATGTAACTATGGCATGCCCTTTCCAAACACTTTTAACAAACTTCTTCAGTCTACTATTACCTCAAACAATTTCTTCTATAGGTATATTCAAAACCAACTGTACATTGCGTGACTTAATACTTGCTTTATTGAAAATCAATCTTGGTAAAAGCCGAATAATCTGCCCCTCTGTCCCTCAGTACTACACCAAGCTCTCTTCTCACTCCCTCTTTTTTCAGTTGAAAAACGTTTTTTTTCCTTCCTTTTTATTTTTCTATCTTCACAGCTTTTGACATTCTCCATCTGATGCTTCGAACGGACCGGCGCTAACAGCTAGGCTGACCTCCCCTGCTCTTGAGGATGCATATATCACCGTCGTCACCCCTACACACTCACAGTTAGGACTTAAACAACTAAAACCACTGAAGGGTAGCCGCAAACTAGTTCAACCTCACTTGTGATTAAATGACTGTATTTCATTGTTCCCATTTATGAGACAAAATATTTATATTCTCAGTGTACAGAAACCCCCCCACACTTATGCAAATGTGAGCCTAGTTTAATGAGGCGCTTTTTGAAGCAAGTTATTTCTTTTAATCCTATAACAGGGTGTAACGCAGAAGGTATAACAAAGAGAGTGGCTGGAGGAGTTCAATCACTGCAGCAAAGCGAAATGTCATAAGTCAGTCCGCAGTATTATTGATACAACAATAGTTGCATTGTGCAGTCAGGCATCTTGCTTATCTGTATCGGGCCAAGATACACTACCTGCTATAGAAGGAGGCAATGCCGCATTCAGTTGCTTGTGCCCAGCGTCCCACCTGAAGGATACTGGTTCATTAGCATGCCCTTTGTTTCAACTTTTCACTAAAGCAACTTCTCACCGAAATGCTTTCTATAGGTACCCTCACCAGCTATATGAGGAAGCTGCTATGGCTCTGGTGAAGAGATATCCAAGGCTGGGAGATGCTTCAGCCTTGGGATATGTGAGTTGTATATTTTACTAACCATAAATCCACAAACTATCACTGACTTTTGAGCATGATCCTGCAAACTAAAAACACATCTTACCCATAACATAGCTTTGCTAATACTCGGTCAAGCTGGATTAAGACGACAAATGACAGAGCCACTGTTAAAGAGCTGTATTATGTACAATTTTATGCAGTGTGTATTTGCTCAGTAGTACTATTCGCATGCAGTTCTACTAAAATTGAAATATATTTATGAAGTTTGACCTGTCGTTTTTCGGACGTAGAAGCTAAGTTTAGGCGGTGTAATAGTATCGGAGGTCTGTGACATCACGGAGAAAGCTTTTAAGATAAGAATGCGAGTGTGGTGTAAAGACGAAACTTTGCTTTTCTAGCTTTATATATTTTTCTGCGTCTTCGTCTTTTAATATGGGTTGTTTATAAAACATGCATTAGTACTATGGCAAAACTACGATTAGATCATTTGATTTAGGGCCACTTTAAAAGTAGCGCCATTCATCAGAAACATGACGCTGCTCCATGGATGGCATGTATTTATTATATCTTTTTTTATTATTTATTGCACAGAAAACCTGGCAGGCAAGTCTGCGGTACAAAGGAAAGAATGTAAGGAGAAGGTTGCCTCCTGGGAATGTGGAAGTGGACATGGCCCGAGAGGAATCCCGCATCCAAAAGGAAAGGAGGTCCCTTGAAGCAGCAGCCGAGAGGGAGGAACGCACCGACGAAATGACAGGTGCAGCAATTGCGAAACGACGCGTAAGTTTCAATTCAGTGTAAGGTTTAAACTATTCTAGGAAACGCTCTTCAACTTTGAGATTTATGCACGGGGGGAAATATTAAACAAAAACAGGACGCATATGAAGGGCGTCTTTCATAGCCTCATTTGCTGGGAAACGTGAATACGGAAATTGCGATTTTATTTAAGCATATAAATATTTTTTCTTAATGCACAAAAGCCTCTGTAATAAACTTGATGTGTCAAAATGGTGCAGGTCTGCAAACCATATTTCGGAGTTGGTGAAGACGAATACAGCATCAATGGGCATATCGCCTACATGGTGGTTGAGACCAAGAAAGCCCTCTGGGATCGGGAGAAAGTGAAGGACGCAATGGATCGCTCATTTGAAGAAAGGCAGCAATGAATGGTCGGAGGGAGAGTGGTATCCGACATCGTTGAGCGCTTTCCAGCCCTCAAAAAAAGAGAAGAAGTAATCGTTCATTTCACTATTATGAATAACGCCGCGTGTCTCAAGTCGCCGGGTAACGCATTGAAGTCCACTGGAAAAATCTGCGGTTGCAAGTAACAAGCTCTCATTTTCAACAGAAGATATTTTATAGGTGCATTTAACCTTGTGCAATTTCAAGGCGTAGCTCTGTTCTTGTGAAAAGTTAGAACAACATTCGTCGCGATTTCAGAAATCCGTCCGTCATAGTCGACCGAATTTGCTGCCGGCTAAGCCTGACTTTTTTTACAGGAACGAAGCTATGCCTTGAAATTTCATAACGTTAAATGTACCACCTATAAAGCACATCTGGCGAAAATGGAAGCTCGTAACGTGCAGGCGTTCATTTTCCCGGTTGACCGTGTGTTGCACGGCAGCTTCCGAGACACCTTTAATTTCTCATTGAGGCCGTAATTTATTTTTTCGCAGTGGTAAAATACTAGTTTAGATAAGCAACCAGCATCAAGAAAAATATTTTGTTGTTCTTACAGATCCTCAACGAGTTCGAGAGGAGAACCGACAAGAGCGCGGAGGAAGGCCTGAGGTCATTCCTGAACGAAAAGATAAAACGCATTTTCGCTATCTTAACGGAAAAGTTCTGCACAAGAAAGGATGCGAGCAGGGTGCTCCAGCTCTGTAAAGACGCAAGCGGCGAGGAGAAAGACCGTAAGTAGTATAGTTCTAAAAGTTTCCTATTTTTGCTATCTCGGAATAACTAGGATCTCTAAAGACCAATTTTCTAGTTTTCCAAGATTTAAGTTAAAGCTATTTGTAATTCCTTCAAGTACTCTCAGTACAGTGCTATGCGACAGGCAATGACAATATATATTCTCAAGTTTGTGTATTATACCTTTATTCCAAGCCTTGTCTTATTTTTAACTAAAATGTCATTAAAAGGAAACATTGTGACATAAATGTGTTGCATTTGTTTCGAAGGCATCCTCACCTGCGCAGCCGTCGAACTCCTGCCTCGACTTGTAAAAGAGAAAAGCAGCTCCTTCATCAAGAAGCTGGTATGAATGATTAAAAATATGGCCTTGCTCTTCCAAAATTTTCTTCCGGATTACGCGTGAAATGTATGCCATTCACTGGAATCTTCAAGGACGAAGCTTGCTCTGTTTGACGTCAAAGGTTAACGAGCGAAATGCTATGCAGCGAGGCTCAAGTCACTCACATTTATTTAGTTGTTTCCTCCAGGAACTTAGGAAGATACCTCATTTTGTATGAACTCGTAAGTATGATGTAAATCAGAATGTACAAGAAGTTAGTCTGGCCTAGGCAAAGACCTATAGAAGTCTGACACAGCTAATATAGGTATATATCAAGACTATTTAGCAATACGATCCCGATAGGCAGTTTTACGTATACTTCTTGTGCTCTTTACCGGCTACTTACCTCATAAGCAAATGCACACGAAAAGCACCCCGATTATCAGAACAACGAATGCTATCTTCATTATCGTAACTATTTTAATGTTGTTCTTTGGAAGGTTATGCTGATAGATTGCATGTAAATTTATTGGTCGATATTTCTATTGCGATTTTCCGTTTGCGGCTTATGGTGCAGTGCCCCATTTTGGTATGCGAATAGCCAATCCAGTTTTAGTTTTTGTTTTTTCGGAGGGTCCACGGGTGAACTTTTTGTGTTGATCTGAAAGTCAACGTAGAAAATATGACTTGGAAGGAAACAGGTCCACCGCGTGTCCTTTTCTTCGTGTTGCGACTGGAGTAACGAAATGAACGACCTTGTTTTGAAATTGTAGAACACCACAGACGAACTAATATGTAAACCGATTTGCTAGTATTAAAAAAAAAAGAATAATACAGATGCCATCAGAAGTGCAAGTGTGCGTTGCAAATGAACATTTAGTATTCCCAATGCTGTAGCACTTTTACTAGAAAGGCCGGGCTCGTGCAGAGTGTGGTAATCTCTGAGATAATAATAGGGAAGGATAAAAGCTGCCATGAGTTGGATCGAAAACTATCAGAACGGGAGAAAGCAAGCATGATTTTATGTATATAATGATTATGCGGGGAAGTCGATACGTGGCAGTGAGACTTATTTGATCATGAAAATCGAATGAAACATGGACGCTATCACAAAGGCTCCAAAGCTGCTTACGATCACGAATAGGTAAAGCAATGAACGAAGTACCTAAATACATAGATATATTCGTAGTCAACCAACCAGAAAGAACTGGTACAACGTGTTGTCTTTTTGTGTACATTTGATTAACCTTCTTTCTGCTTTTTTTTTTTTTACAGGTACCCGGAGAGCGGCATATTCACCCTACCGTCTCTTTTCCGGGGAGGACGCGGTATCGTCGGCTTCGATGCAGGTGGCCGTAGAAGGGCTGACTGTCGACGTGGCAGACGTCGTAGAAGGCGTCAGTTTAATGATGGCCATGTATTGGGCCTTCGACATTGAGTATCGGCCTAGTGCGAGAAACACCTTGGTGATCCTCGAGCGAGCAATGGGCGTTAAGGAAACCACTATAACCATGACTGCTCTAAAGGTCATTGGAAATCTTTAGGTCATTTCGGCATTCAATTTAAGCTCTACTCGGTGTTCGGCAGTGTACGGCGAAATGTCAGCACTTCTTGTTGGTGAAACAGTGTTGCACAGTGTTGCGGGCATTCTGAAATTGCAACATGAAAGAGCTATTCACATGTTCTAATCCCTGCATGTACCCAACTCAGTTTCTGCTCCGAGGGGTAGTGTCGTTTCGCGGGACACCACCGAACACCACAAAAACACAAATCCACCTTTGAAAACTACGTCCTACAGCTTCAAATAAAATGTTTTTGCAATTTTCCAAATATGTTGTGATAATAAAGACTTCAATCATGATTACCTCTTTTTGTGAATCTTTCTTTCAATGGTGCTAGTAAAGCACCCCTGCTTTACTAAGCACTCTTGCAGCTCTTACTTGGGGAATTTGCTTCCGAAAAGGGCTTCTTCCAAAAGCTTCATCAGACTGCCTGTTTTGTAATGCGAGTGTCAATAAACGCCGAAAAAAGCGGAGTCATTGAAGTCTCCGGTACACGGAAATGGTGACGAGCAGCTCTTCAGGGACGAGAGTTCTCTGAGTCTTGGAGGGTTGCAAAGGGTGCTTGGGGGCACCGTTATACGAGCGTGTCCGTTAAGTACCCAGGGGAGTTAAAGGCATCCTCAACCGGTAGGAGTTCTGTAGTTCCCATGGTGCTGCAAAGCCCCACCGGACTGGGGAGTCACGAAAGTCCCTAGGAGCTGAGAAGGGCGCAACATATCTCCCACAATGTGGGGAGCCATGTGAACACCTGGGAGTTGAAATGAGCATTACACGACACCCATAAAAGGAAGGGTTGTATGAACCCCTGGGAGTTATAAGGAGTGCCAGAAAACACCCCTAGTCAGGGGGATCACTTGACTCCCTAGGTGTACTTAGCGAATTAAACAGCACCCTTAGTGAGGGGTGTCAGATGAGTCCAAGGGGATTCAAATGAAGTGCTAAATGACCCCCCAAAAACGAGGTGTACGAGAACTCTCCGATTTAGGGGGATTATATGACTCCCCCGGAGAGTTATTTCTGACACATCGCTTGACTCCCCTGAGGGGAGTACCCGTGTACACCCTTTTTTTTAGAGTGCAGAGTTCTAGAGCGCTTAACCATTGCCGGCATAGCTCAATAGCACGAGGCTGTCTGCGGCTCCTGGCATGCACACCGTGACGCCACACGTACACGCGCAATCATTTCATTCCATTTACTGATCGTGGGCCACTCGGCACCTTGTTCCTAGCCCCGACTCCTGGTGCAGCATTCTAAGTAGTAGTACATCTCGGAGTCGAGAAAGGAAGTGCTAGGGCTGTCGTTTCATGAGATTCTAAGCAACACTAACGACCGTGAAAAGTGGAATAAGTTGACATCTAGAAAAGATTGGATGCCAAAATCTACCACCGGCTACTCAACGATGTGTAGTAATACCTTTCTTCCAACGGACTTTAAAGAAGGGTGTAAAATTAGGCGACTAAGAAAAGGTACCTATCGTACCAAGCTTATTTGAAGGTTAATTAAGACCTAACACCGCGATTTTGAAGCGCAATTGGGAACAGAACATCCTTAACACCACAGTTCTAGCACTACAGTAAAGTGAAACCGTTGATTACGCCGTGGAAGATACAGGTGTTACACAAGATCCCATTGAATTGTATATGTGTTTCGGACCCTAACGTCACTGCGATGAATGCCGGTACGTGTGCTGACTTCCGAGGTGCCACTTCCTGCCGGTGTATGCCAGAGGTGGAAGAGAAAGGTGCGTGATCTTAAGTATCAAGTTGCGCGGTTAAACCAAACATTGGAGACCAAAAAAAAAAATGAGCGGGATAAAGAGGACATTTATCTATCGTCGTTTCGCTGCATTATTGAGAAAGAAATTGAAAATAATCTCAGGGCAAATTGTATAGTTGACCAGGTCCACAATTTCAATAAGAAGAGACCCACGTAGTCTGAAACAACACTACGGCATGCAGTGATTCCCAGGAGCCTTTCTACCAAGGCGTGCGAGTACATAAGGGGTGAAGGCCTGCTCCAATTGCCAGGACGCAGAACATTGCAGCGAAACACTGGAGGGATGAGCGGTGAGGTAGGGTTTACGCCATTAGTCCGAGAGAGACTGAAGGTTGAAGCACAGAACCTGGCTGTACAACAGTCTAGAGTATGCTCTCTTGTTGTTCACAAAATGTGCATAAAAGAAACGCTACATTACCAGAAGCAGAGGGATCTTGGGCAAGGCTTTGACGGTGTCAAAGTCAACAAATGCAGCGAGCCCGTGCTTGCCAATTGACTACTATGCTTCGTACTCAGCGGCCTCAAAGTACGGTTACGTATACCCATGGTGTATTTCTTTAAAAAGGGCTGTGGAGGGCTGTTGCTGTCCAGCGTGATGAAATTCATTATCACAGAGGTAGAGGCAGCCGGGTTTATTGTTGCCTGCAGTGTGGTTGACAAACACAGGGTAAACGTCCTCGCAATGCTTACCCTTAGCGTTGGACATCTCAAGCACTGCATTGAGCACCTCAACGACGGCTCCCGAAAGAGCTTTTGATCAGTGCCATCTGATTCATAACCTAATCACACGGTAGCGTAAAGGTACCTTTAGTACGGGTACCTGGATTAAAGAGAGCTGGAGATTGTGATCACACGGTGCATAAAGGTCCCTTTCGCTAAGGGAGGTCGTGTGTTAAACGGGGCTTGCCAAGCTCCCTTTACAGCTACAGGGAGTAGCCGCGCACACAAGAACTCAAAGTAAAAAACACAGATATGTATTATAATCACAGATACTGCATTATAACAAATTGAATATATAAGTATCAAATTATGAAATGATTGTGAACGCAAACGTGATGAAATAATACATCGTCGAGGAACGCTTACTTTAGCTAGAAGATAGCAGCAACGGCACATGGAAAACAATGTCCGCTGCGAACGTGAACCCGATAGACCATTACGAGCTGCGAGCTTTTTTTCGAGGTTCTAGACGAGCCGAGTCGTCCGACACTCCCGCCCAAGACGTTTCATCTTCAGCGTCGTCCATCCCTTTCAATGGTGTGACTGGCGTAACCGTGAGGCTCCGACGTGGTTCGTTTCTGCCGAGCACTATTTAGCTACTTTAGTGAGAACTGCAGGAAAATAGAGGGGCTAAACAGGAAAAGGTAGCCCACCTCACAATGGAAACTCGTAACCGCAGTAATTTAGGGCCAGTGTGACCAGACAGGTCGGTTGTTTTAAAGCAAAACTCATTTAGGTGCGTCCTAAGACGCAGAGAAAAAATTTGCCGCAAAACACAATTATAATTTATCTTTTAAATGTGATATTTCGCACACAATAATCAAAAACTGCGCGTCAAACCGATTTTGAAAAATAATTGTTTATCACGTGCTCCTCTCGCGGTTTGGCAGGGATGCAATCGACTTCAAATAAAGTGCTCAGTTTATTTATCGTGTGATCGAGAACGCCGTTCACTATTAGTACCTTCAGCTAAGGGACCGAAGCTAAAGGTACAGTCGGCCGTAAAAAAAGATTGACACAAGTGATTCGTGGCCGGTGCGGCGAAACCGCCACACGCGGCGCTATATTTCGCTACAACACGGGGAATGAGAGTGGCCGGAACGTTCCCACTTTTGAATCGCAGGGGTGCTTGGAGAAAGATATAGCTATCGTTTGTAGCAATTTCTTTTTTTTTTTTATGAGTGGCCTGCTTTTGAGGGTGACGAGTCACATGTGAGATGACGCTTTTTTCGTTGTAATAAACAAAGTCTTCGCAGTGATATTTATTTTATTTGCTGCTCCGAATTTGTGCGTGGAAGACGGAAGTATTTTCCTTATAAAATCGCGGATATTTCAAATCGCGACACAATCAATAAGATAAAGTATAGAAAGCTCTAAACAAAAGTCTGAACATGATCACAGTTCAAAATAATTAGGCGCTTCAGTTCTAATACTCTTGGCATCGTTGACAGTGTTACTCTCATCTGCCAGCCTTGCCAGTTCAGCGTCAAGAAAAGGTAAATGACGGTAGGCACTGATAAAAAAAGGATAGCGCTGTTCTCACCGAGCGAGCGAAAACAGAATACATGTGCGCAGCCACGCTGTGTTGTTTCGAAAGCGCGCTTTGGGAATGGCTCCGGTGTGTCGACGTCCCCCGTGCATCCAAGAGTGGACAAATCCGGCAATTGCGACCCCATTCCTGCTTAAGCTATCGAAGCGCCCCGTGTCGCCTTATCGCCGGCCAGGCCATCGCTTCTTTGTGTAAAGCTTTTTTACGGCCGACTGTACCTTTACGCTGCCGTGTGAATTGGGTATACGAATGTTCTTTCACAGTTCCTTACAGGAGACCTCGGATGTGCTGGGGAAGTGAAATTCGTTGATCTAAAGAACTTGCATAAGCTACGAAGCAACAGTGTTGTAAAGCAATTTCGTTTTCAGTCGCGGAAGCATGTTTTCCCTAGCAACCTGGAGAAGCTGAGCGTGCAAAGGGCAGTACAGGACTTCTCACCGCCGGTGACTGCAGTATTGCAGTTCATGCAACAGCAAGCAGGCCACACATGTAGCATATCTTATGGAAGTGTTGGACCCACGGTGGAATTTATAAAGAAGGCTCACACGTGGCTTCTCTTAATGGATGTGAGCAAGTGCACAGAACGTATCCACGAAAACCTTTCCGACAGCAAACCATTCGAATCTGTAGACGATAAAAGCCTTACCTGGCTCGAAACAACAATCGTGAAGTACCTGCAAAATACAGAGCCACGAAGGTGCGCAAAAAAACTTCCTCACGCATGAAACCTTACAAGGCTTGCTGATGACTACTGCCTCCAATCTGGAGTGCATTTGCCACCTGCTGACGGAACACAACTTCCGTCTTGACTCGGGAATTACCTTCCGACACCATACAATTGTTCCTCGGCTGGCTTCGAAGGTCGGCTGGCAACAACGTCCAGATGAACATGAGGTCTGCCATTTCGGGCCTGGAAAGAATTTCGAGGGCAGGCACA